CTTGTTTAGGTGGTGGTCCCGTTAAAGTCACCTTGTATTCAGAGCCTCCATCCCTGACTACAGCCAGTTCTGGTAATGAAAGGGTTAAACCACCAGCCAGAGGGTGTGTTAAAAAGGAACAGGAAGCCAGTCATTCTGGCTGTGTGGAGTGTTTGGAACAGGACACATGGCTATGTGTGTTAAGCTGTGGAATACAGTCTGCCGAGACACTGCTGGGGCCCCTGCGTCCATACTGGAACCCTCTGTGCGCAGGCTGGGACTCTAACCCCCGAGGCAGGGACTCTAACCCTGAGGTGGGACTTAGTATACAGGCGCTGAGCCGAAGTCTTGTGTTTGCTGAATATAAACCATTTACTTTGACTGTTTGTGGAAATTAATAAAAGTTTATTGTCTGATATGGCTGGCTACGGGTCATATCCGCCCTGAATATTACAAAATATATATATATATATGTATTGTGGCAGTGTAAGCCAATGCCACGGTGTAGGATGGCGACTTTGGCACCCAGGACTCTCAGCCAGAGGGGCTGAGAGAGTCCAGAATGTCAAGCATGTTATAAGGAAGAACCTGGCTTTTCAAGTCCGTCTATCTTTTATCTATAATAAAGTTTGTGTGTTAGTAAAAATATCTTTCATTGCAGAAAGTCTTAGGAACAATGAACTTCTTTAACACGTGTTGTGTCCTATGTTAGGGCAGCCCCACTGAAATGAATGAGATGCCAAGCACTAATAAACGTGCCTGACCCTTTTTCTGTAATGCAACGCACCGGATGTAAATGGGCCCAACACACTGTTGTGTGTCAAAATTAGTCCCGATACCATTTTTTCAAGACCAAGTAGAAGTACTTTCCCTCGGGTACTCGTCGATACCAATTACCGATACTTTTCTTAAAGGGACATGTGACATTTTTTCTAAAACAATACAGACTTATGATTTTAGGGCAGTTTCTTTATAATTATAGAGAACTGTAACTCATTCCATGATTATTCAGCAATGGAGAATGGCAACCAGCAATCATGGATTGCAGAGATTTGTAGTCCTCTATAGCCGGTTGCCATTCTCTATTGCTGTATATTTATCTCTATTATACAGTAATAGAGAATGGCAACCAGCTATAGAGGACTACAAATCTCAGCAATCCATGATTCTTCAGCAATGGAGAATGGCAACCAGCAATAGAGGACTACATATCCCATTAATCCATGATTATACAGCAAATATGCAGGGCTGTGTGCGGATCTCACCAGGGCTGCGTGCAGGTCTCACCAGGGCTGCATGATTAGATAGAATGGCAACCAACAATAGAGGACTACAGATCCCATCAATCCATTATTATACAGCAAATATACAGGGCTGTGTGCGGTCTCACCAGGGCTGTGAGTAGATCTCACCAGGGCTGCATTTGGATCTCACCAGGGCTATATGGGTGGGTGCCAAGCTTTCCAGTGCTGTGCCGGTCTCTGCGGGCACCAGGAAGGAGGAACAGGAGATGTGGGGATTGTGGAGCTAATGGAACCCATACCCACCTCTGGTGGTTTTGCCCTAAGATAAAGGATTACTGGCTCCAAATTACCACTCTTATCTCCATCATTACTAGTGATAACATTCCACTTAACCCATGGCTTTGCTTATTACACCTCTGAATGGTCGATAAAAGCTTATAAGAACTCCCTATTGCCCCATCTTCTTAATGCCTAACCTTTTAGAAAGCCTTGCCAGAAGCGTGGAAGCTCTGATAGCCTCCAAGGAAGGGCAACTCCATATTAATGTTCAGGGTTTTGGAATGGGATGTCCTACAAGCTCACATAGGCGTGATGGCCAGGTGTCCACAAACTTTTGGCCATATGGTGTATTACAGTGGACCCTTCATCTGCCAAATTTGAAGACCCTTAACAGTAAGTGGCCTTTCTGAGATTAAGCACAGTTGCCGTGTTATTTTCCTTGTCTGGATTGCTAAAATCTACATGTTATCTATTGCCAATCCTTGCAAAAAAAAAAAAAATCAAATGGCATTGTTCTTTTGCAGACATCTACCAAGTACCAAACATGTTACTAGCTGCACTCTTTCGTGGAAAGTCAAGCAAAGTACACAACAAACGCTGGAGATGCAGCGTGCTAAGTCACTGGGCTGGTTCTATTGCAAGAGGAATCGTGAGAGCAGGTAGTCAAGAAATGTCAGCACAAGCACGGCAATAAGCAGGGTGGGTTGAACTGTTTGCAGAGTCATCCTGACTATAAAATCCTTAGGATTCCTGCTTTCCTTCCCTGGCCTTGGCACATGCAGCTGAATCATTGGAGGTTTGCTATCTATCACCATCACTGTTATGACTCAATCTATGAATAGCAGTTGTAGAACATTTCTACTTAAAGTGACATTAAACCCTCAGATTTTTTAACATAAACCAATACTGTAATGTGTGCCTTACTGTAATCCATGGTTGTTTCCCTTCTCTTTGCTGCTCTTCCTTTTAAATCCTCATGTCTTCTCATGCTGGGGGAGAACTTCCCTTTGCAGCTAAGTGCCTCTTCCTGTAGTGCTGGCTCAGGTTGTGAACCTGCACACAGACACCATGTAGCCATTTCAGAGACACGGCAGTCTGCTGCAAAACAGAAGTTCTGCCCAGCATGAGAAGAGATACGGTCTTAAAAGGAAGAGCAGCAAAGAGAAGGGAAACAACCATGGATTACAGTAAGGCACATATTACAGTATTGGTTTATGTTAAAAAATGAGGGTTTAATGTCACTTTAAGCCAAACAAACGTGCATATGAAAGATCTCCATGTGAAGAATGTCCTTCAAAATGTCATTTGATTTTGGAATGAATGAAGTTCCTCAAACACATTCGCTGTTTGAATTTTGATTATTTGAGAAATATATTTTCCAAACTGCTGATTTTTATCCGAATATGGATTTTTTTTTTCCAACGACATTTTTTTTGGGTTATGACCAGTTTTAGACAGGCCGGTCAGAGAATGTGGTCACAGATTGATTAGTCTGAACATGCATTGTCAGAGTTATTCACAAAAAGGTGACGAGTTTGGAGAAGTGAACAATCTAGGACAACATAGCTGAACTGCAAAGTGAGATGAATTGGAGATTGTTCACTTCTCCTGTCTTCTCCAAACTCGTCACCTTTTTGTGAATAACCCTGTATGTGTGTTCCTCATCTCTGGGGAAAATGTAAATATTATATGCTCTTCCCCTTCACAATCATCATGTGGTGTTTGCATAAACATGTGCGCATACTTATGAAAAGACATCTCATAAAAGGTGAAAAGAGTCATATGTATTCTTACTGGAATATTGGACTGGTCTTGTCGCCACCCCCTCCTGTAATAAAGACCGTTCACTGCTGCTCTCCTTGTGCAGGGTGACTGGTCTTGTCTCCACCCCCTCCTGTAATAAAGACTGGTCACTGCTGCTCTCTCCTTGTGCAGGGTGACTGGTCTTGTCTCCACCCCCTCCTGTAATAAAGACTGGTCACTGCTGCTCTCTCCTTGTGCAGGGTGACTGGTCTTGTCTCCACCCCCTCCTGTAATAAAGACTGGTCACTGCTGCTCTCTCCTTGTGCAGGGTGACTGGTCTTGTCTCCACCCATCTGTGGCTTTCTGCAGGCAGCCTGTAGTGGGTGGGGTCAGCTGGACCCCTCCCACAGCTCAGGCTATGTACAGCATAGAGCACAGGCAGCTGAAGACCTCCAGGCAGTGTCTGCGCCAAACAGCTAAAGACACAGATTGATTACATATAAGAGAGCTGCTTTACCTGCCAATTGAGTTGTATCTATATTCATCCATTTCTAAGATTTGCACAGCCCTGTCTGGCAGACTCCTCCCCAGCCCATGACTGGACAGTAAAAAAGAAGCAGCAGACTGATGAGTGCATCTCTACATCACTCTGATCTCTATCCCTGTCAGCATGCCCCTTATTAAGCACTGCTGCACAACTGATTAGCTCCTTGTGCCGCTTTTCTCTCCCCCACTCTGAACTTTCCTGGGAATCTGTACCAAGTTTAATTTGGGTAAGTACACTTAAACAATTTTAATGACATATACATGAATAAGAAGTTTAATTATGTGTGTCTTTTATGTTTGTCGGGAGTCCAGCTTTAACAGGTAAAAAGTTTACCTGAATGAAATACTTTTTTGTTGTGTTGTAGATAAGAGTAAGGAATTGTTAAAACCCATCAGGTCCCCATTGTGGAATTTGCCTTCACTTTCCCAGCAGGAACCCGAGAGGAAATGACTTTGAATTGACAAGTGTGGCTCCCCCTACAGTACTGACCTTGCAAACTCTCCAGGTCATATAAAAGGAAGTACGAGTGGAAAGAAGAACTCCACATCTCACGAGTACACATTTTTAATATTTAATTTCGTATCACGATTCTCATGGTTGTCATAAAAATACACAATTTCATTGTTCTAACACAAAACCTTTTTTTCATTTTGTAATATGACCACTAGGGGGAGTCGGAGCTGCAGTATTGGGACACAAAGGGAACTACATAACAATTTTACCAGCCTGTTATTCCTATCACCGATTCAGTTCCTTTATATTTCATGCTCCTCATAGAGGCACAAACATACACTGCAAGCCAGGATGACATTTTGGACAGATCACAGAAAACACTGGAATCCAACTCAACAGGATTACATGGCAGAGCTGCTAGCTCAAAAGCCTGGTCCGCGTCTTTATTGCATTCGCGTGGGGAAGTGTATTCTGGAGCTCCAACTGTTAGAACAGATTTCAGACCCTTGCTTTTATTTTACATACAAGCCTCCAAAATGTCCTAAAAACACACAGATCAGTTTAAAGGAGAACTATGGGGTAAGTGTTTTTCCCCATAGTTCTCCTAAGGGTCACGGGAGGACACGCTGTATACAGAGGCCGCTGCAGCCGGGACGGATCCCGACATTACTGTCGAGATCCACCCAGCTGCGAGATTGACAGCTGGCTCTGCCTATCTAGAGGCAGAGCAAGCTGTACCTGCCCCCTCCATTCCGCCAGTCAGCGCTGGAGGATTGGAGAGGGGAGAATCCCTGCAGGGAGCCGTGAGTTGATAGTCACGGCTCTCTGCAGGGACATGATCGAGAAGTGAGCGAGCGACGGTATGTGTTCGCTCACTTCCCGATCTATTGAGCCGACATGTGACCGTTTCATTGTCACAGGTCGGCTCGAACTATGAGGATGAGTGAAAATCACTCACCTCATAGTTCTCCTTCAAACTGCCAACATTACATGACCAGCATACCAACCCTGAGCAGTCTTGACACATCGAGCATGGTTTGCCAGGTTGGAATCAGCAGGGGGCCGGGCTATGCATTTAACTCCAGAACACAGTCATTTTTTTTAAGCTAACAAGTTACACCACAACAATGTCACTTTTCCATCCTAGGTTGGCTTTTAAAAAGGCACCATATAAATAAATATAGCTGCAACTCATGCTCTGCCCCTCATCTCTTCTTCACACCCTTTTTCCTGGAGGCATTGGGGTTCACACGCCTGCGGCCGGCTCCCTGTGCTGTGTCTCTGATGTTCAGGTTGGCGGCACGGCTGTAGATGTCATTTTCCACAAAGGGTGACGTTCCGGCAATGTAATCTGGGTTGAAGACGTCGGTTTTAGACCTGGCCTTTTTGGAGAGACGCTGCTGGGGAAAATGCTGGTCGCCGACTAATTGCGGGTTTGACGCGTGCTTTCCTCCTTGTGGGGCAGGCAATGAATGCTGCAGAGAGAACACATAGAAATCAGAGGGCTTAGAACACTATGGAGGTCATTTATAAAAGTGCCACCCGCGTACAGCCAGGCAGATGCCATTCGCACGGCACTACCACTCCTAGATGGCGCTGATGAGTATAATTTCCTATACTTGTTAGAGCCATTTGGGGTGCTAAAGCCATACGAACAGCATCTGCCTGGCTATATGCAGGGTGGGAATTTTATAAATAAACCCCTTCTCTTACAGGGAGCTGCCATTCTAATTTCATTAGAGACCTGAAATCCAGCACAACATTTAATGTACGTTCCCATACCACTTGCTTAGGTTTCGGTCTTTTTAGTTTCCTGTAATCCTGTTCACAGACTATAAGAGAGGCGGTCAGCACTCAGCACAATTGTTGCTCTTTCACTTTGCAAAGTGTTTATGGGAACAACACTGAACATGCGTACAGAAGGAAAGAACAAAAGGGCCGAATTGAGCAATCTGCTACTGCTCCATCATTGTCCAATCAAAGGCTGAGAAGGAAAGGTGATTGGCTGCTGTAGTGCTTACTCATTCGGTCTCATCAGAAAGCCACTTGTGCTTTATAAACTTGTTTTTATTAATGCATATTAAATATTGGTATAAACATTTTGATTCTAAATAAATGTAAAAAAAATATTTATATAAACATAATGTGTGTAAGTGCATAAAAAGCGCTCACACTTTCCTGCAGTTGGCTTACCCTCATGCCCCGGGTGTTCATGACCTTGGGGTTCTGGGAGAAATGCATGTGCAGGCTTCCTTCCTCATCGACAGACACGGCCACTTTTTTCATGGTCATATTCCCACAATGAGGACAGAAATTTTTGGACATGTCAGAAGTTGTCCTGGAAGAAAAAGGAAACTCTTGTATGCCATATGCCCACATTGATCGAGAGGGGGGGTGGGGTGGGAGAGGAGAGAGAAACAGAGAAGAGTGGAGATGGAGAGAGAATGAAGAGAAAGGAGAGAAAAGGAGGAAATTATTAGAAAGGAGAGAGAAAGAAAAGAGAAAACGAAAGAGAAAAGAGGAGAAAAGAGAGAGTGGAGAAAGAGTGGAGAGAAAGAGGGAAAGAGAAATAGGAGATGAACAGAAAAAGGAGAGAGAAAACAGAAAAGAAAGAGGAGAGAGAAAATTGAGGAGTAGAGAGAGAAGAAAAAGAAGAAGAGGAAGTGAAGAGAAAAAGGAGAGAAATCAAAAGGAGAGTGGAGAAAGAAAATAGAGACTGCTACACAGATGCAGCCTTTGAACATTACATTTCTTTACAAAACACTAATTAAAAAGTTCATCAAGTCTGTTATGAACTCACTTGAAGCAGCCATGACAACGTAATATGTAGTTTCTGGTCTGGCGTATCAGCATTCCATCCACAGACAACACATGGAGTCCCATCTGTATGAGTACGTTCTGCAATTAGAGAAGGTTAGGAGTGGCATTCGCAGGGCTGCTCTCATGATCAGCTGTAACAATGAAAAGATAAGATGATAGAATACAAGGGATGGTTGCTGCGATACCTGCATAGCAAAATCCGTAGTCAAGCAGCCGACAATCACGTTACCCGGAGCCTCGCGGACACCCATGTCCTGGTGGATCTGTTTAAGGTTTTCAGGTGTAATCCAACCTCCATCATCTTCATTATCACCATGATCATCATCCTCCTGTTCATCTTCACCCCCAGATGTGGCAGATGGCCCCTCTAATGTGTGGTCTTGTGATGTCACTGGCTCAGGGCTGGTAGTTACTGACACTGCCTGGGCATTCTGTAGGACCAAAGCACTAGAGATAAACACCCGCCATCGGGGAAGAACTCCCACCATCAGATTGTAGCAATGTGCGAGACGCATTTAAAAATGAATCGGCCCAATTTAGGGAGGGGGAAATTTTCAAGAGAACCTCTCAATTGTTTCCCTTTGAATGCATCTCACAAAGCCATTGGTACAAACCTGGACAGTGATATACATATATCTCTGTACATCCGAGCTTCTGGAAAGCATGCTTAAAGTATCATACAAGACATTTTTCACAGAGTGTTCTACAAGGAAAGTGATCATGTGACCTAGAGCACTCCGGGATTTTTGTTACTTTGATTCCTATGATTTATGGATGGTTTACAGTGTTTCCAACCTATACCAAACACGGTGTTGATTTACTAAAGACTGATTACCATCATCCAATCATGTACAAGCAAAAATCATGTAAAAAATATTTATTTTCCATGCATGTGATTGAGTAAACTTGGCAAAGATCATTTTCACCACATTCACTAAGCTAAGGGAAAATTCCCCTGCAATGAGAATACTCTATTTGCCTTTGGTAAATCAACCCCAAAAAGCGTAGATATACAGCTACACCTGCTGATATTCTGGGTGCGACACGAAAAAAAAACCAAGTAGGCTGAAAATCATTGTTGCTATAAGGGGGTAATGCACATTTATCATTGGAATTGTCAACATGGGGGACAAATCATTTCAGCTAGATACGATATATTGCTTTTACTCTCAGCATTGCTACACAGTAATATCATTCTGTGGGTACGACTTGGATATCAAAATGTATTCGCTGCCTAGACTTACTATGTTACCGATAAGTATTCAACAGACAAACCAATGAATCAACCAGTTATACCTTTGTTACATTCAGATTGATGTTTAAAAGAGAACTACGGTATGTCCAAACCATTTTTGGACAAAGTTCTCTTTGGGTTACAGGAGCACTGAGCGTTCAGCGGTATGTGATTGCTCAGTTCTCGATCAATAGAGCTGCAGGGTCACACATTGGCTCTAACTATGGGGATGAGTATATTTCACTCATCCCATAGTTCTCCTTTAATCCTTTCCGGCCAACAGTTTTTACTGGATTACAATAAAGATGGACTTTTTAGATTTATCACCCCTGCTTTTACTTTCCAACCTATATGCCTAGAGGGATGTAAAAGAGTTTACATACACTTTAATGTGAAAACAAAGTCAATTAAAGGCTAGCTCAACTTTGTTGAGAAAAAAAAATCCCCCCACGGGTGATCTGTGTATATTGTAAGCATTTCAGACACTTTGTTGCAGATTCCAACCTTTTTCTGTTCAGCATGTCCTTTCCAAACCGATTCCTCTACAGTGGGGAAGGTGGGGTCTGGTTCAATACAACAACCTGGTGCACTTAGGAAAGTTGCAGTGTCGGCATCCCTTTCTTAGTGATTAACCCTAGGGCCTGTTTACACCATCCAGTGCGTTCATCGCACAGTCCTGTGGCACGAACGCACTGGATCGCAAAATCACATGCCTCCTGCCTGCAGTGTGATCGCCCGCAATGCCTGAAATGCGTGGTACCGCAATGCCCTGCGTTCCAGTACAGTACCACCCGTTCTGGTGCAGGTGATTTAGGGAGCCATTGAAATGAATGGCACAAACCACTCCCCCTCACGCCACAGAACCTGGGGAGGCTTATGCGATCCAGTGCGTTCATGCCACAGCACTGTGCGATGAACACATTGGATGGTGAGAACAACCCCCTAAAAAATGTAATTCCTATTGCAAGTGGTTCCCATAATTGTACTTGTATCCAAGTGCAGACTTCGGGGAAAATCTGTTAGCTAATCACACTGACACTTGACATTTCTGGGGAGGTAATCCCCTAAGGTACAGAATGCCTCCAGGTTGCCATATTGTGATTTTTTTTGAACAGTTTTAGAAAACTACAGTGGCTGCAGATTAAAATGGAAAGTTTGTTTTTAATAAGATTAAGTGGAAAAAAAAAACAACCACATTTTCTTAATGAGTGCAGTTTTCCTTTAAAGGAGAACTATGGGGTCAGGGCTTTTCCCCATAGTTCTCCTTGGGATAATAGGAGGACACAAACTAGCGTCCTCCCGTTTCCCTAAGCTCAGTATACCGCGAGCTCGCGGTATATTGAGACGCCGCAGCCGGAGCGGATCCCGACATCGATGTCGAGATCCGCCCAGCTGCGTGAGTGACAGCTGGTTCTGCCTATCTAGAGCCAGCTGTACCCGCCCTCCCCCCTCCGTTCCGCCAGTCAGCGCTGGCGGATCGGAGCGGGGGGAATCCAGCCCCTCCCCTGTCATGGCATAGAGCCGTGACAGGATCGAGTGGTGAGCGAACACCGGTATATGTTCGCTCACCTCCCGATCTACTGAGCCGACCTGTGACAGTCTCATTGTCACAGGTCGGCTAGAACTATGAGGTGAGTGAAAAGCACTCACCTCATAGTTCTCCTTTAACAAACAAAAAAAGTCACCAGCAGGGAGAGTCATGCAAATTCTCTGGCTTTTTTTTTTCCTTCTGTGCACAGTGCATGCAATCTACAGCCCGGCACAGAATGTATATCATCAGTGGCTGCCCAATGGAGGAAGAGAAGTACTGCAGGATCCAGAAGCACGGTCAGTGGAGAGTGTATGTGTACGGCAAATTATATGCGATTCAATGTGCGCAGGCGCACAAGAAGAACTGAAGTGACCTTTGCCTTAGAAACGTTGACAACGCTCATCCAAAGCATGGGGAAAAAAAACAACAGAACAAGTGCAATAAAAATGCATGGATTTCGAAACACAGAAGTGTGCAGAGGTCCTGAATTGGCAGTAATGTCCATGGAGCAATTTATGTTATGATTAGTTATGACGTACCATGAGGTCTACCAAGTCATCTTCAATACTGGGCAAGGGGTTCCTCCAAAAAAGGAAAGAACTGAACTCTTTGTTCTCTTGGCTAATTTCATTCCTCTCCTCCACCACTGTGGCCTTTGGTGAGCCGTCCTTTTTACCTGCAGACTGGAGAAGAGACATAGTCTATGCAACTATACAGATAATAAAACAAGCAGTGTGAGGACTCATGACTTGTGTTTGGTACACAAGAGCAGACTTCATGCATGGACTATACAGACTGCACTACAATATCCTGCTAGCTCACAGGCTTCATAAAACGACCCTTTTAAACTAGGGACTGGGAGAAAGAACTGGGACAGCCCATCTTGAACGCACACCGGGAGTAATACTTTTTCCCAAACTTTGAAACAAGTATAGAAAGTCAAACACAGGAAAAAAACAAAACATAAGATAATAACCCGGTGGTAGAGGTGCTTCACTATTATTCCCTTCAGGGCCTGTTCATATGAGTTTCAAGTCCTGATCAGGTCCGGATCTGCAGACGCGGTGCTACTGATGCAGTGCGTTTTGGCCGCGTTTTTGATGCGTTCCAGTTTTTTTGCTGGAGTGGGGCTGTTAGTATGTTAGATGCAGTGCAGTGCGTTTTTGACGCGTTTGCGTTTCCTGACCGTACAAAATGTGACATGCAGTATTTTTCTGTCGTAAGCTGAACAGACTGCGCACGTGAGAACTGTAGCCCATAAAACACATAGGGATACATTTTTAATGCAGGAGCGTACGGATCAGGTCAGCACAGAAAACGGACGTCGTGTGAACAGGCCCTTAGTCTTTAATAGTTGTTGGGGATATGGAGAAGGCAGCACCATGCTCCACATTGGGTGGAATTAATGACATATCTGAACCTATTGGAGTGCAATTTTCGGCTCTGCAATCCAATCACTGGAATGGATGGAAACATCAGAAGTGGCCCTACTCTCATGAGAAGTGGCCCTACTCTCATGATCTCGAGGTACCTATAAGCTAGCGAAGAAAAGCCTCCTAAGATTCCTCCTTTCTAGGGATGCACCGATACCAAGTACCGTACTCGGTACAAGTACAGATACTTTTCCAGCTCCAAGACTAGACTAGAGAAAAATTAAAAAGTTAGGAGGCGGCTGTCATTTGTAGGGAGCACACGGAGCTCCTGGGATTTGTACATCGCTGTTTTAATGTATGATTTTGTTTTTATAAATATAAAATTAAGGGATGATACTTCTCCAAGTACTCACAGACACAAGTAGTGAAACATTTTTGTTTATTGTCATGTGACAGTTTTTCTAAAACAATACAGACTAATGATTTCAGGACAGTGGTGGAGCGCCAGAGCCAGGACCCAGCTGCAACCCTGATAGTTCTCATGAAAATGCCAAATATCTGAACTGGTATCTGAAAAGTATTGGGGCATCCCTACTCCTTTCTGCAAGCGGGACGCTAATCCCCAGACACTGGTGAATAATGACTATCCCACGTTAGGGAGTGAGTCAGTGAACTTAATCATATTATGAGAAAGGAAGAACTGACAGACCACTTATACAATAGTTATCAAAATTTTATAGTGACAAGGAGCAACCGGCCTGAATTCTCTAAATCTCCTCATCTCCAAATCTTTCTCTGACTTCTTGGTATCAAAACAAAGGGGATGATATTCCTAGGCTTACCTCAGCTGGGCCCCCCTACATTTAATGCCCACTTTTTTTTTCCTACCCCTCTGTCTTAGCACGGCGGTGGGGACCACACTACTCCCGACAGCCAACTGTATTGCACACTTTTCCATGTATACTCTGCATTTTACCATGTACCTACCTCTGACATTTTGTTGTACATAAATGGAGGGGAAGCCTGCCTCCTGACCCTGCACACTTGTACTTATGTCAAAAGCTCAATAAAATATACAAGAAACTAAATAAAGTAGGATAAACACTGAGAATTTCAGGTACCTTGGACGGGAAGTGGAATCCGGCCACATTAACAGGAGCTTCCGGGTGCCGAACTGTAGTACTGACAGAGACCTGAAAAAACAAACATGTATTTAGGGATAAAAGGGTATAATGTCTAAATAGACAAAAACAAAATGTTTAAATATTACACCTACTCTTGAGCCATTGTTGCTGTATGGAATGAGCATATTAACGTAACTGTTGCTACAATGGAGTTAAGCAACGGTTACATTTATATGCTCATTCCCTCCTGTGATCTCGATTTGTAAAATTACATCTCCCTACCGACATACAATTGTTTCCTATGATCCTCTAATGTCCATAACTTGGTATTTTCCCCCATTCCCCCTGTTCTGTATAAATGAACCTATTGAAGGTCATTCAACCCGAAGAGAAATTACACTCAGAACATTTGATTTTGCCATTCTCAACAGCTGGCCAACGTGTACATCATAAATGAATCATAAATGAATATATATCAGACCAATAAAAAAAATAATCTAATATGTTGAACATTTTCACGTTCTTAAAATCATTTTTGAGATTTAAAGAGGAACTCCGGGATGTATTCAAATTAACCCTTGCAGTGGGGCTACCTTCGCACCGCAAGGGTTCAGTGCTCGTTTCCAGGAGCGAAAATGAAGATATACTCACCTGATCCTCACTCAACTCTCTCCCCCACTGCTCCTAATGGACTTGTGTTAGACGTGATGATGTCACATGTCCTTGGAATGCCAGGGGAGAAGAAGTTGCAGGAACCGATCTTGCACCGCAGCGGGACTGAGGAGTAGGCGAGTATATTTTCGTCCCTTGACCAGAACTAGCGCTTAACCCTTGTGTAGCCCCACTGCAAGGGTTAATTTGAATAAATCCCGCAGTTCCTTGTTAATAATAATTATATTTTAATTTAATAACATGACGCGGTACCATGGAAGTTCGCATTTACTTTTTGTAAAGAATTCACTGGTTTCTCCCTTCGACCTCCAAGTCACAACCGGACACAGTAGTGACGTGGAGGTCGATGGGAGGAACCAGTGAGACCCCTAAAGAGTTGGTTCCTGCAGCAGAGGATTTCTCAGGATTGTAGCAGTGTCCGGTGGGGCAGACAGCAGGATACAGTGCAGCGAGTGAGTGTTGTCAACATAGGGCAGGAAGTACTGCTGGCAGGAAAACGAATGCTGCCTCCACATCTAAGGACTGATACGCTGCAATATATTCAATTTTTGTTCTTGGGTTTACATACAGTTCATGCATAACAGGCTATAATATTGATCCCCTTCAATTCTCAGCCTCTACTCTCAGCCAGTTAGCCATCAACATCTATTGCCACTCACCTTACTAGCTGGCTCTGTTCGGATATGATCCTTTCCAACATGCTCAGCCTCAAGCTGGTAAGCGAGAGCCAGAACCTTGATGTCAGTGGCTGATAGGCTGCCATAGTCTCCAGTCTTCTTTGAGAATTCTGTCACTGTAAAACAAATAGAGACAATACAATGTTAGCATGTGGTGCACCTCTGCAGAGTCCAGAACCTGCTCACAAGCAAGACCTTTCAGTTTGGGTCACAAAGGATTGGCTGACATACCTTCCTGTCCCCATTTGTTTGAAATGAGACTAATGATTGGGATCACAGAAGTAGGGCACCTGTTTCCAAGCCCCCGCTGGCAATCCTACTTTTTGCAAAAGAAAGTCAGTTGACTGCCCTTCACCTGATAAAGCATCTAAAAAAGCAGACACTGGTGAGACGTAGGGACAGCACACTGATATCCCTACCACAGCAGAGAAGAACAGGGGAGTTACTAAAGGAAACATCCACCAAGGCTGAACATTATTCTTCTGCTCTTCGTGGAGAGACAACAAACCCCCGCCTCCTGCTGACTTCAAGACCGGTGACCACAGCCTCTTCCCCACTCCAATTCAGCAATCATAGACCTGTTGACATCATCATGTCTAATGCAGGGTCCATAGCTCTGCATTAGATGCAAGGAAGCTGAGGGACAATCCACAAGCCGGAGAGGAGGCGAGTGCCAACTACCAGGGGATTAGGGGTCAGGTAAGTAAAACTGCTTTAAACAGTTCCCCTAGACATAAATGAGCAGATAAGCCCTGCAGTGTGGAAGTAGCCCCAATGCAAGGGGCGGTTTTTCTTTCCCCGGAAGTAGGCTTTAAAGTGACATTAAAGTCAAATTTGTTCCCCCTCCCCCCAATGTTAAAGTGACATTAAACACTCAGATTTTTTAACATAAAACAATACTGTAATGTGCGCCTTACTGTAATCCATGGTAGTTTGCCTTCTCTTTGCTGCTCTTCCTTTTAAATCTGTATCTGTTCTCATGCTGGGCAGAACTTCTGTTTTGCAGCAGCCTGCCTTGTCTCAGGAATAGATACACGGTGTCTGTGTATAAGTTTGTATAGGTTTGTAACCTGAGCCAGCACTACAGGAAGAGGCCCTGAGCTGAAAAGGGAAGTTCTCCCCAAGCATGAGAAGACATGAGGATTTAAAAAGGAAGAGCAGCAAAGAGAAGGGAAACAACCATGGATTACAGTAGGGCGCACATTACAGTATTGGTTTATGTGAAAAAATGAGGGTTTAATGTTAGCCCTTACCTTAAATGATGTCTCTTAATCAGATCTTCTTTCCTGATGTTTTCATCTGTTCCTCCAGCGCTGTGGCGAGTCTCCAATCCAGCGCTGACTCCGCTGAGCTTGCTGCCACCTGTCCCACAGTGTCTGCATGCGGGTGCACGCGTCCATAGACTTACCTTGCGTCTCTCCTCGTCTCCCGGCCGAAAATCCGAACTGCGCAATGTGTCCGCCCCAAGATGCTTTGCGGCAGCCCGAGCAGTTTCGGATTTTCTGACGGCGTGGCGAAGACGGGGTAAGTTTAAACCGCTGTTAAAGTTTTTGCATATATCTACTTCTTGCTAGCAGTAGATATATGCAAAAAAAAAACGGAGGCTTTAGAAACCCTTTAAGTTTCTGCAGTCTCTCCTGATATGCTTTATCCCTGTACCATTTGTTGCCCATCTCTGGACTCTATCTCATCAAAATCTTTTTGTAAGTGAGGTCTCCAGAACTGGATGCAGTATTCTAAATAAAGTCTAACTAAAGATCTATATAGGAGAATGAGGACCTCCTGCTGGGGATCCCTTCAGTGATGCACCCGATGTGGACCTCCTTCCTCCAGCTGGGGATCCCTCTAGTGATAACTAAAAATCTATATAGAGGAATCAGGACCTCTTTCCTCCTGCTGGGGATCCCTTCAGTGATGCACCTGATGAGGACCGCCTTCCTCCTGCTGGGGATCCCTTTAGTGATAACTAAAAAAATCTATATAGAGGAATCAGGACCTCCTTCCTCCTGCTGGTGATCCCTCTAGTGATAACTAAAGATCTATATAGAGGAATCAGGACCTCCTTCCTCCTGCTGGTGATCCCTCTAGTGATGATCTCTATAGGGGAATCAGGACCTCTTTCCCCCTGCTGGGGATCCCTCTAGTGATATATGTATTTCAGCCAAAGACAGCCAAGCAACTAGCCTTTTCAGAAGAGGTCAGAACTGGCAACCTTCATATTTCTATCTGTGCAGGTGTACTTTAAAGAACATTATTTTTCCTAATGCCAATAACAGTGATGGGTCAAACTAGAGCTAATGACCACAGTAGGCGATTGCCATTGGCATATTGGAGCACAACCCTTTCTGGTAGCCCAAGAAATTGAACTTGTCAGTCATCTGAAGGTACCTGACACTGACCACAAGTGGCATTTAATGATGTATATGTGTCCATGCGTCTGATTTAACACCTCCAGCAGCCCATTTTTAGGTTCTTATCCTTGTGTCACGTTTGCATTTAACCTTGCACATGACAGGAGGAAATCAGGGTGACAGGACATGCTGGAACTTGTAGTTCTTTCCTCTCCCGACCCTCCCTCCTCCACCCACCCCGTCAGGTCTATGCGTACCTAGTTGTACAGTCTCAGGTTTGGGATCCTTGAAGTGCAGCTCGTAGGGCAGCACAGCCAATCGTCTCCTGGTGGCCTTATCGCGGATCTCATTCACCACATCCCGCACCGTGTAGATATGCGTGCCGATGTCCTACAGACACAAGAGAAGTCACCCTCTGACGGCGATTACCCGAACCCCCACGCCAACCTTTGCCCCCCAACACTCACCTGGAGCACCGCATTCCTCAGGAAAGCTCCGGAATCCGCAACAACGTGCAATACCTTGGCCGTCGCCATATTTTCCAAGCCAGCCGCGTCTCAGCCAATCGCATTCCGCGGCTTAGTCCCACCCCGCACGGCAAAACGTCACTTGGTTGGCCAAGGCGCAGGGAATTCTCTAGCGCCGTCTGTTGGCTATCCTGGGGAATTGCACCACATAGAGATGAATAGGACAATGGGGACCAATCAGCTGTCATGCCAGTCTTCAGATTTACCTGACTTCCCAGTATTCACTGCAGGGGGTAGGCAACCTCAGCACTCCAGCTGTTGTGGAACTACAAGTCCCATGATACATTGCAAGACTCTGACAGCCACAGGCATGACTCCCAGATGTATATTAGTTGTAGTTTCAGCACAGCTGGAGTGCTAAGGTTGCCTACACCATCCTACATACTTTTCCAAGACATTAAAGCCATGGGATCAGCATGTTCAGAAGGATAGGCCAGCAAAGGTTAACTACTTTCCCTCTGTAAGGCCCATTGCTGGGTACCCTATACCTTGGACTTTTGTTCTTGGTGCATCAAAGCCAACACTTAACCAATGGCCTTCAATATTTTGGATTTACTATCAGTTCTGCAATATTAATTACATAACAAACTAGGAATTTTGTACAGCTATCATTAGTTAAATGCAAAGAAGCCTTGCTTAACCCTGTGCTAGAATTAATTTTTATCCCAGCACAGAACAGCCCATGTTCCCAAATATCTACATCATGCAAAACAAAGCCCTGCCACAACAAAGATGGCGGCGCTGGAATCGGGTATTTCCGGTGCACTCAAACGCTCTCTTCCGGGTCAGCTGACAATGCCGAGGGTCACATGACCGAAAGTGCAGGAGGCGGAAGTGGAGAAGGCAGGTAATGTCAACATAGGGCTGACGGTGGGTGATAATAACGTTGATGGAGGGGACATGGAGGTTGTGTACCGGGGATGGGGGACACACAGCGGGAGATGTACAGGGACATGATCATACAGGCTACCTATGTGCTGGGAACCCTTATGTCTCAGCATGCCTTTTGAAAGAATGAAAGTCTATTTAAAGCTAATCACTATAATATAATCTAAGATTTAACATGGTAATGCAATTTAAAAGGTTCTGTTTGATTGTAATAAATATTCAGCTTTCATTGACATAAACCCTGGTGACCCTGCCATGAAGGTCCTTGTTCAGACACTTCCTGTTAGGGAGCGACAACAGTTTACTATTTGTGCCATGGTGTTGTCACTTTGTCACAGGCTTCCCCAATTGAGACTACAAGCGGCTGTGCCAACGCACATTGCGAGGCCATGGTAAACCGGTAAAGTGCTGTGATTGGATGCTGTAGGGAGTGCATGTATACAGGAAGTGGCTGAAAGAGGCTAGAGGAGATCAGCAGCACTGAGATACAGCAAAGGATGACAAAAAAGAAAAAAACAGCATTTAAAAAAAAAAAAAGATGCTTGTTTATGATACACAATGCTCAGCAAGCTAAAAGCCGTCCTGTTAGGGATTAAATTTATGGTTAGGGCTCATGGCAGGCATACAACCTGCTTCCTTCAGATCAAATCTTGTCAGAGATCTGAATGCAGCGCTATTGTATGCTCTGGGCCCATTCGCACTGCTCTGTTTTGGTTCACAGGATTCAGCAGAGAAATCTGCATCCACTGCCTTGCATTTGGCCGCATCTTATGCTGTACGCATATAAACGTTTGTGCTAATCTTAGCGTTCAGCGTAATGGACCCCGCCAGTACTGCTCAGGACCACTGGGGGGCATTACAATTGTGTCTTGCACTGACAGCGTAGTGATGCAGAGAGTGTCACTCTCTCATCATGTCACCGCTGCTCTCTTCATCGAGGATCCTACCACCAGGAGCAGATCTGAAGACGACTCACATGTCACATGACCAGGCCAAAGACTTCAGCAAAAGGTAAGTATAAAAAGAGTAAACAATAGTGGTGAAGGGGGGAGCACTGGGCTGGTGCAACAAGCGCATTGTACCGAAGTGAGGCTGGAAAGAAGTGTGGCATCGGCATCGGTATCGGTAATCCTGTTTGAAGTACAGTTTTGATTTAAAAGCACAGTTCAGTTTTCCAACCTAGTTTCATGTTTTACTCATATTTGGGTGTAATTTTTTTGGGTCTTTCTCATTGCAGCATCCTGTTGATTTTTTAAATCTAGCGCACACACAGTTATATCATCCATTCACAGATCCACATCTGACTACAGGTCCCATCTGCGCACTCAGGTGGCAATGGAGCAAAAGTGTAGTGACGTCACCACATTTGTGGCTCATCGTTTACCTCCTCCAGCCCCAAAACAGAAGTTTGCCTCCATATCAACCATCACGTTCTCAAACAATTCATCCCCACGCAGCTCCCTCGTCATGTATCACTTCCCCCTCCCTTTTAGATTGTAAGCCCTCAGGGGCAGGGCCCTCCTTACCATTTTGGCTTGAATTGTATTGTGATTGTGTTGTCTCCCTTATATTGTAAAGCACTGCGCAAACTGTTGGAGCTATATAAATCCTGTATAATAATAATACAGACCTGTGGCTGGGGGTAAACAATTCAGGACCCGTGACACTGATCGCGGTTGCAATGCTCTGCAGGCTTCAATGTGAAAATGTAACACATGCGCATTTTTAAAATTATATTAATGTCGGTGCACCATTTTATTTGGACTACTCCTTTAACTAAGTATCATTTCAAATAACAATTTCTAAAAATTATTTTTTTTATTCATTGGCAGGGGATCCAGTCATGGCAACTGCAAGCTCCGGACAGGCTAACAATGGTCAGAAATTACACCTTAATCTCAAAGGTAAGACTGGCAGTAATGAGGGTGGATGTGAGATTGCTTCAACTAGCTGTTCAGATTAGAAGAAAACAGGAAGTGCTGTTCCCAGCCTACTGCCTTTCTGACGTTGATCTGCCAGCAGATGATAACACTTCACCTGTACAGTAAAAAAATCAACACTGAACATTTAAAAAAAAACAACCTGTAGGACAAACAATAAAGCATGTAATAGCCTAAATCAGGGGTAGGCGACCTTGGCGCCCCAGCTGTGGTGAAACTACAAATCCCAATATTACTCTGCCTCTGGGAGTCAAGTTAAAGCACAGCTAGAGGGCCGGAGTTGTCAGAGTGTTGAAATGCCTCATGGTACTTGTAGTTTCACCACAGCTGGGGTGCCTAGGTTGACTACCCCTGGCCTAAATATTGCTTTCATCCAGAAACAGTAAAACACAAGTAAAGCTTTTACAAGCCGTAGAGACAAATACAAGTTTATTGTCTATAAAAAAAATTGTAGTTGGACAATAATGGACCTCGGCAGGACTCGGTGTCACTGACAAGATGTTAATACAGTAATACCTTGGTTTACAAGTAACTTTGGTTTGAGAGCGTTTTGCAAGACAAGCAAATATTTCTGAAACATTTTGCCTTGATATACAAGCAATGTCTTGCAATAAGAGCAAAATTTTGTAGAAAAAGGCTGTAGCAGTGCGAGCGATGAGTCTGTTTATGGACAATGCAATGTCACATTGGATAGATTCCTTGTTAAGGTTTCACGAAATGAAAAAGATTCCATTGAGTCAAGAGGTAGCAGTGATTCCGTTAGTGATAGTGAAAGTTGTCCTACACAATAATCCTCCTCTCTCTTGTCCCCCTCACACCAGCCACAAAGGTAACCGGTAATTGGTTTATTTTTCTTTATATTTTGTACAGTATTATATTACAGTATTGTAATCATGTTTATATGAATATTTTTGGGTTGTGGAACGAATCATCTGAATTTCCATTATTTCCTATGGGGAAGTTCACTTTGATATACAAGCGCTTTGGATTACAAGCATGCTTCCGGAACGAATTATGCTCTTAAACCAAGGTATTACTGTAAACTGATTTAGGGTGGAACGGAGTACAGCTGGAATTTTCCTTGATTATGCACCCTTTTGGTTGGAGCGAAGACACACTCCTGCTGGTGAGCACCTGGCTGTCTTTCCCCTGCTAAAGCCGTGGAGGAGCGGAGTTTTATTTTGTATGCTTTGGTGGACAATAATGGACACAAAAAATGATTTTTGCTTGAAGCGTATGTAAAGGCAAACCTTTTTTTCAGTTTTGAATGAAGTGGGAAAGGGTTAGGCCCTGTAATGGTCATACTTGTAGTTCCACAAAAGCTGGAGGGCCGGAGTTGCCCACATCTGCTCTACTGAGTTTTTATTGCTCAAAACAATTGAAGGTGAGGCTCTGGATTCAAGTTATTACTAGAGAAATTAGACTAGACCAAGGCACAGTAGCTCCAATGAGGCTGCTCTCAACGACAGGGCCCAGAGTGAAAGATCCACATGTACAAAGCCTAATGACGACCCCAGACAAAGGGTCTAGTCCAGGAGTGGGCAACTTCGGCCCTCCAGCTGTGATTTACCTACAAATTCCAACATGCCTCTACCTCTGGGAGTCATGCCTGTAACTATCACTCTTGCAATGCCTTATGGGACTTGAAGTTCCACAACAGCTCAAGGGCTGGTGTTGCCCACCGCTAGTGTAGTTCAAAGTCGTTTAATATTTGTGTTCATGACAATGGCAAACTCAATTCGTGGGCTCAAAGATCTTTCCCTTCTGTAGGGCTCAAATGTTATAAATAGTTGGGAGGACTCGCAAATGGCAACATTCCAGGATAATTTAATTGTTATGTCAACATTACAGCAAAATCGGGATCAGTCTGTCTGTGTGCCTGTTGGGGAGAGTCCCCTTCTCCATTTTTCCTAGTGACCATTGTCACTGAGACAAATTGAGGGCAAAGCCAAAATTTTAGAGTCACCAGATTAAAAGGTGAGGGGGAATCTTCTGGAGGGGGACACCTGTTCTGGTAACAACAAATCCCCCTCACTTTGGGTGATATACCATGTTTCAGCTCTGGGACTGGAAGTGAAAGGAAATCTTCTCAATAATACACAGGCAGCAAACAAAAACCTGACAGGGATTTTTGTTATGCCCTACTGTGCAAAACTTAAAAAAAAAAAAGTTTTAGTTATAGTGTACATATACTTTAAGGAAAGGTGCAATGGGGCTTAGAGGTAGCATGTGAGCTGATACTGACTGGCTGTCATGGTGAGACTTTGTCGCCAGTGCATCCTGAGTCACTGACACACTCACTGATTGTTCATTTTCTGCACGCTAGTTCCAAGTCATTGACTCAGAAGTATTAAAACAAGGAAACATCAAAGTAATGGCAGGAAAAACAGAAGTGGTCCATCAAGTCTTCACTTTAACTCTTTTATCTGAGTATAGATCTATGTTTGTCCCGAGCATGTTTAAATCCACTTACTGTTTACTGACTCACAACCTTTGCTGGAAGTCTGTTCCAAGGGTAAACTACTCTTTCTGTAAAATAATACTTTCTAAGGCTGAGTAGGGTATACACCGGATGAATTTCGGCTGGTTCCTGATGAACTGGCTGAAATCTGCACAGTCGGTGCCCCTGTTGGCACCCTTCCACCCGGCATCCCGTAATCAGCTGATCGAAGGAGCCATTTGGAATATTCTTGGCCGAACAAGACTAACCGTTCTGGTAATACAATGTTAACAGCAGGGGATTCGTCCATCAGTCCCTGTAACCGTTGATGGAGGAATCTATTCTATTATTTTCATTCAATTCGTGAGCTGAAAAAATTGAAACGTGTAGAACCTGCTTTAGTTCTGAACTTCCCTCCTGGTATTTCAAGGTCATGTCTCCAATGTTCTTTGCTTCCTATTGAAAATACTGTCCTCCTGAACCTTATTCACACCATTAATGCATTTAGAGGTTTCAGTCATGTCTCTCCTTTCCCCAAGTCTGTACATATTAAAGAAGAACTCCAGAATCTCGCACTGCAAGGGTTAGGTGCTCATTATGTCTAGGGACGAAAATAAAAAAAGAAATACTCAACTGATCCTCGGTCCCTCCTGGCTGCTAGGTGGGAACGAGGCCGCAGCCTCCTCTCCCCAGGCTTTAGCAGTCTAAGGACTTGTAACACCATCTTGTCTAATGCAGTACATTAGATGTAGAGCTGCAGCTAATGATTATTTTCAGAATCGATTAGTTAGCCGATTAATGAGTTTGATTTATCGGTTAATCGAGATTTTAAAAAATGGCTCCAGTGATGGGACTACTAGTTTGTATTGAGATTGTAGTCCATCACAGGAGCAAGCTTGGAGCAGTGGAAGTAAAAGAAAAAAAAAGTGTGTTGTGCAATATAGTGAAATGGAAAGTGTAAAATTATACAGCAATGAATGCAGAATGGTACCGGCTATAGAGGACTACAAATCCCAGCAATACATTATACAGCGCAATGCAGAATACCATCAACTATAGAGGAATACAACAAATCCCAGCAATAGTACACTATAGCTGGTGGTATTCTGCATTGCGCTGTATGCGGCGTGTAGAGCGCGGATGCGGGCAGGTCTGTCAGCTGCGAGCATGAGGCGGGGAGGAGGTGTGACGTGTGGATGCGGGCGGGCTGGTCTGGCATCGGCGACCTTGCGTCGGGGAGGAGGTACGGCGTGTGGAGCGTGGATGCGGGCGGGCTGGTCTGTCAGCGGCGAGCGTGAGGCGGCGGAGGAGGTGCGGCGTGTGTGGAGCCGTGGACAGGGCCAACTAATCGAAAAGCCGATTAATCGATGATTGAAAACATTGACAACTTTTTCAGTCATCGATTATAATCGACTCAGTCGATTAGTTGTTGCAACCTTAATTAGATGTAAAAATACATATCGCAGCGAGAGCGGAGGGCGAGAGAGGTGAGTGGTCAGGAGGATCAGGTGAATATTTTCTCTTTTTATTTTCACCCCTAGACGAAAACAAGCAGTTAACCGTTGTAGTGCCTGGGTAGCCCCTCTGCAAGAGTTCATTTTTTTAAAATCCTGAAGTTCTTCATTAAGTTCCTACAGTCTTCCTGATATGTTTTTTCCTTCAGGCCTTTAGCTGTTTTTGTTTCCTGAATCTTTACTCATGTATATTTTGCAAGTGAGGCCTCCCGAACTGGAAACACAGTATTCTAAATGAATACACACAGTCAGATAGTATTTTCAGAAGGAGGAAGGAAGTCAGCCGCATATTTCTTCCATGACAATCTGAAGTCAATGATAAACTCAGAAGTGACTTGACTGCATAACAGATGTAATCAGTACTGCTCAGGATTTTCTATCGCTTCCAATAATCTTCCTTTATAACTGGAACCTGTTCTGTGACTTTGGATGAAGTCGCAGACTGTATTGCTGCAGTGACTATATTCCACATACAATTTATTGTTTGTCAGTGAGTCACGTCAATTCTAGATTTGTCCTTTGTTGCCTGCAAACAGAGAAAGCCCATCTGCCTCTCTGGTTTAAAGGGACTCAGTTTGATTTTCATGTAGAAGTTTATTTGCTTGGAGAGCTATTTGATTCCTTTAATCCCTTCTCACCATAGCCTGTATGGTTATACTTTCCAATTGGATCCCAAGCCCTACTCCATAGAAGCCATGGTTTCCATACACTGCACCGATAATAGCAAAAAAATCTGAAACAGCTGTATGGAATAAATGGCTTTATAATATTAGGCTATATTTGCACTTTATACCAGTGGTTCTAGATCTGCATCTGGCAGGTGGAGGGTAAAGCAATGATTTCCACGGCTTCACCCACTGTCCTGAAATGAAGAATAATCCTATTTTTGGGATATGTGATGGAATGAGACAAGTGAATATCTTCTGTTCTGAGAAGGCTTTACTATGATACACATGCTAGGCATTAGTATTTATATTGCTGCATGCTTGCAGTTCAAATTGCATTTATTT